AGCGCAAAGTTGCACGCTGCGTGCGACGCAGCCAGGAGGAGGTGTAGACATTGAGGGGCATTGAGGTTGAGGCAACAACAAATAATAGCAAAAATACTTTACCATAAAGTTTGCGAGTTCATAAAAAGATTCTCTCTCTGTGCGCACATCCAACGAAAGTGGCAAAAAGCAGCTGCTCTGCTGGCATAACTCTTAATTGGCAGCTCATCTAATTAGGGCAGACCCCAACCCACGGCACCCACCACTCTGGACTGCCAATTCTGTGACTGTGTCTGTCGCCACTAATTAGGCTTAATCGCACTCAACATTGAGGCGTTCGAGAGCGCTGCTGACCAGGCCAAGCGATCCTAAGCCAAGCGCTGAGCTTAATAGGCTTAGACCACTTCCAGTTGCACACTGACACAGTTATGGCCACTTTTGCAGGCCGCACTCTGGCTCTAGCTGTGGCCAACGGACGCAGCTGGTCTTCACATGGCACTTACTTCAGAGGAAGAACAGCACAAAAAAATAACACTGCAAACAAAAAACACAAAATTGCCGCTGTGACAGGGGCCTGTGGCCAGTTGGTCTGCGTCTTCCTGGCTCTTGGTCTGTATCTGACTCTGCCTTTGGGGCCTGCTGCTGCTGCCATGTGTGTGTCTGTTTGCTCCTGGGCATTTTTGTGGTTAGCTGAACTTGTTTCTGTTTTGCTGTAATTGTTGTTTATTAGCAACAAGTTTTGCATTTTGATTTTAACTCCATTCTGTGGCCGCAAAGGGTTGGGTTGGGTTGGGTCCACAACAATGCTCCACTGTGCCTGGCCGTGCATTGTTTGAGGTTGAGTCAATGCTAAAAATGGTGAAGTGGAGCCATGGGCTTGGGTGTGCCCGATTCAGTGTGTCTGGCTAAAGTATTCAAACGATTCGAGTCGAGTCGAGTCGCGAGTATGATTCAGCAGCACAGAGCACAAAAAAACGGGCACAAATCGGTGAGCGATTCGGAAAGTGGGTAAATAAGGCCATGCACCTTCTTGGACTGGGGAAGCCAGTCGGACAGCAACAAAAAAATCGGCAATAATCTTGGCGGCAATAAGCCACAGCATCATCATCAGCCAGAGTAGAGCCAAAAGCAGAAGCAACGTGATCAGCAAATGCTAAAAAAACGAAAACGAAACGAAAGAAAACAAAGCCAGAGAAAAGAAACCAGCTTGAGAGACTCGAACTGAAGAGGAAAGGGAGGAGGAGAGAGGAAGAGACTCGAGTTGGAGATGAAGATTCTTCATATACGAGTAAAAAACTCACTCAGCCAGTAGAAATTGAATTGATGCTGGCCCCGCCAGACAGGCAGGGCCAAAAACCGGCTCTGGGGCTTCAGCCTGGGCCCCACCAAACGCACAGCGCGTAAGCCGTGACTCGATGTCCCATCCGACTCGGACCCGGTACGGTGGCAGCATTTATAAATAGCTTTCGATATGTGGCAGGGCGAGGGCAGGGAGATCTTCTATCGGCTAATGGGAATGGGAAAACCTATGAGGCGGCGGCACTGCACTGCCGCTGAGGGTCAATCCGAACAGGTAGCTGGGCTGCGGGTCAGGTCAGCTTCATTAGCCAAGCGAGGGCGAGGGTGGAAAGAAAAAACGCAGCTGAACAAGTGATAGCAGATCGGAGCGAGCGGCATTCAATTTTCCTGGGAAAACTCTATGACCAATTCTTGACTGTTGTGTTTGTGTGTGTGTACCTACCCAGAGGGACGGGACTTCAGATGTGAGAGCCGTTTCGTGTCGTTGAAAATCCAATAGACCAAGCGCTGGGGCTGGCTCCGTTTTTCGAGATGTTTTTCGTGCTGTTATTGATGTAGTGGTGTTGGTGCTGCTGATTCGTGGTAGTGGTGGTGCGTCGCATACGTGTTAAGTAAATTCCAATATGTGCTCTGGTGCGCTGCCTTCTTGTATCTTACAGATACTCTGGCTCAGATACTGGTTTTTGTGTGTGATTTCGTAAAAGTTGCTGTAACCGCAACGACGAGCATGCGAAAGAACGAGAGACAAATCACTGGGGCGGACACTGGGACACTGGGGACCGGGACAGGTACCGAGAAACCACCATGAAGCGCAGTGAAATGTCGTCGTCTCTTCTTTCTCCTCTTCTTTGGTTACTCCGCGCTGCCAATGATGAGTAATCGCGAGTTGTGGCACTAGAAGCCGGACAGTGTACACTGCACTACACTAAACACTACGTTGTACTTGCTTTTGTTTAGCAATCTTTAGCTCTTTAGGCGGATGGATGATTTTGTTAGCCATTAAACGCACGCCGAGGCAACAACAAAAATGATCGAAAATCTACCTGACGCGCGCGCCATAAAACTAAAGACAAACACACACACACGCGGTGGGGGTAAAGGGGATGCCGTAGCTGTTTGTTGTTGTTGGTGTTTTTATAGCGCGGTTGCTTTGCTTCGCTTTAGTTTCGATTCTGCTGTCTACGCGCCCGCGTTCGTTTCGTTTCGTTATGTCCGAGAGGAGAAGAGAGGCAGGTAGCGCCGTACACGTCCGCCTCGGTTCACGTTTCCAAGTAAAATAAACCCAAAAGCCAACTACTAGCACCACTGAACGTTGAAAACAAGTATTTGTTTGATCCACTGCACAGTGGGTAGAAACACATGTGCGCTGAGTTCTGTTTACGGCAGACAAATTCCCTGGGTTTACTGTGATCTGTTTACAGTTGTATGGTGTCCAGCCACTTGCTCGTCACTTTTGGCACCACGGTTGCTGCAGTTTCAAGTCGAAACGAGATAAATGCACACAGACAGTCAAATGCAGTCTGTTGACAGCACGCACACAAATGCAGTTTTGCTTGCATGGTCGCCGGCAGGGTATAAATAAAACAGGTAGAGACCATAAACTCTCTTGCCTTGCTCTTGGGTTTGTGAAGGATGTTGAGGGTGTGTTTATGTGTGCATCGTAAACACATTAAAGTGCATTCATGTCTCGCTTTGGTGCCTCACAAAGAGGCCGTTATGTTTTTTGTACCCTCTATAGCTGTACCTTGTTTGCCGGCATGAACTTTGGCAACATGCCCGTCCCACTCAGCTCGGCAGCATGTTGCCAGCACTCCGCCCCGATTTTTGTTGCCAGAGCTTGTTGTTGCCGGCTTTTTGGCTGACTGTGCCGGCTGCTGCTGTCTCTCTGCCTCCCCCACTCACACCCTAACATATTACAGGGTAGTTTTGCCCTGTTTAGACCCCTCAATGAATGCTGGTCGTACGCAGGGGTATATGGGGTGTGTAGGAGTGTGGGAAGATTGTTTTTCGTGCATATAAACATGTGTATGCGGAAACGGATGCGACTTAATCTGCTTGAAATCAGCTCTCTAACCGAAATTGAACTTTAAGCTAAACGAAATATATCTTAGAGTATTGTCAAAGTCGGTGTCCTGCTTTCATAGTTTATCAAACTTTGTTATCCCAAGCTATGCTACGTCCGTTTTGTATTTACTTTCAACGAGCACAATGCTCCTATTTGTATAACCCCCGTACTTGCCGTCCCCGCCAACGCCTGCCTGGCGCTAAATATTTGATGAAGCTGCACAGACACTGGACAGACAGACAGCAGCGACAGGCAAAGATACAGATACAAATAAGCACTCAGATATACAGAGATGCAGTTGGGGGTAGAGAGAGACAAGCTGTCTGCCAGCTAACTTGCCAGGTTTTCCGCTTTTCCATTTGCCAAATGCAAAATGTGAAATTCAAAATGGATGTTCAGCTCGACCAAGACATGTTTTGTCATGTCTGGTGGGAAGAGAAGATTGGTTTTTCTTCTACCTCTTATCATTTTGACTCATTTGCACTTGAGAATCTATTTTGTGTTTCATTTATTTGCACACTGCCTGACCTTTCTTTTCATAGTAATTCCATGTACCCCGCAACATGTTGTTGACTCGCCAGCTGTGGCGTTTATCTTATCCAGCGTCGTTGTCGCCGCATGATGATAGCACTGACAACGCCTAGCCACTGCCTCTCCTCTTGTGGCATATGTACACGTTTCATGTTGTTGTTTTTGTTCTTGTTGTGGTGCACATGTCTTTGCATTTCCATTTCCATTTGCATTTTCAACAATTGTCAATTGCGGAGGACGCACTGCAGCAATGCCAGGCCATCCAGCCAGCCAGCCAGCCAGCCAGGGACATTTGCATATGTAAGAGTGTGATGAGAGTACGTAACATTTGTCTGCAATCCGACAAGCTCACTTTGATGCCGTCAAAGCCGCCTTCCACTCCCGCTTGGAAGTCCCGCTTGGAAGTTCCTCGTGTCACAAAAACAACAAGCAAACAAGAGAGCGAAGGGAAGGCAAGGGAAGAGAGCAAAGAGAACGACGCGCTTGATACCCTATCAGCTGGTTAGTGCCACAGGAACTGTTTTACGAGCTGTCTAAAAGGGAAGGATGCCCCTGCCAGGGTATTTAACAACTACAAAAACTTGGCAAAACTTTATGTACAGACAGACGTCTGGTGCCTGCTTTTGTTTGCCTTAATGGTTGGGGCATACAATTTGCATAAAACTCAGATTTTTCCTCTACAAAAACAAAAACAAAAACAAACCGAATTTATTTTAAAAGCAACTTTATTTCAGCCCGTCTGAGAAATGAGAATTGAGAGACGGAGGTCTGTTCCCTGGTCACCTGCCGGCGGCGGGGCAGTGTCATCGTCTTCTTAAATGTCATTAAACATTTCGGAATCCAGCCTGTCCGGAGCGGATGCAGCCTCTTGCATATTCATGGGCAACCAGCGAGACGGAGGACCAGGACAGTGCTCATCACCTCTTCATGGCAGCCGTAGAGATTCCCGTAGGGACAGATGACCCCGTCTGAACTTTTTAAACTACATTTAAGGCGTGGGTAAACAGGATGAAGTGCAGCAGGCAGCAGGAAGTGCCTGGAAGGTGTGAAGACAGAGCGAGAGATTTTTACCCACTTGACGCTGCGCTCGAATTTGATGTTTACTTTAGGCTAGAAATAAAACTTGACTGTGAATTTAGTTGTCAATTTTGCTTTAGAAAACATTTCTTGTACCTCCACACTAAAATTTCGAAATATATTTAAACATGCCACAGAACGTGCTGATAGTCTGCGTGGGTGCGTAGCAGGACGAACAATCATAACCCCGCAAAGAGATTCCATTCCACTAATTAATATGCAAATGCCATGCACACGCAGGAAACATTTGCCGCTCCCCCATTGCTGAGGCTGTGATGCGTGACAAGATTGCCAGGGCGGGGCTGCAGGAGGATTGGTATGTGGAGAGCGCCGCCATTGAGGGTTGGCACTGCGGCTCCAGGCCGGACGAGCGTGCGCTGAGGGTGCTGGACGAGCACAACATCGAATGCAGCAGCGTGGCGCGTCAGCTGCAGCCGGAGGATTTTCAAAGATTCGACTACATACTGGCCATGGATCGGAGTAACTTGGCATCGCTGAAGCATTTGGCACCGAAAGGTGGCAGGGCCAAGCTGCTGCTGCTTGGAGATTTTGGCCTAAAGCCGGACGAGCGCAGCATCGAGGATCCATACTACGTGAGAGGTTCCGCATGAACACTTTTTGGTGTTTTATTTAATTGTAATGCATTCCAGCTCATGGGCTTGGCTCCATTCAAAAAGATTTACGAACAATGCACCATTGCCTGTGAGAAATTTCTGAAACAAGCGCAAATGAATGAAATCTGGTAAACCAAATTCAAATATGGCGCACCTTTTAAGCTGCAAATGAACCTGGAACGACGCAGCAATCAGCTGTGTGTTATCGCAGTAAAGTATCGATATACGTCGACTAGGAATACAAATTGAACGCACTAAAAGCACACAACTATATAAAATATGAATTTATTAATATTTGACGATACTAAATAAATAAAAATAAAAAAATCCATGAAACCACCTTCCATTGGTGATTGGTTAGACGATAACGATGATAATTAAACAATTTTGTTAAAAAGCAGTTAATATAGGATAATTAATATATGTAATTATCTGTGATAGTCAATGAATCAAATTCCATGAAATGACATCACACTACATTATATAACTTGTTATACTCTTACATACTACCACAAACAAACCAATAAACATAGCATCATATTGTTTAAATAATAAGAACATTTCCAAAGCAACACCGAGCATACCCTGCTCAAGAAAATATCGACAGCCCATCCAATTCCGATAAACAACCACACAAAAAATGGTGCAAAAAATTCTCATGATTTGTTTGGGTAAATAATTCTATTAAATTCTACATTTAAAGTATAATCTTTGACGCTGTGACCTTGCAGGTAACATCTGCCGCTCCCCCATTGCGGAGGTGGTGATGGTGGACACGCTGGAGAAGGCGCACAAGCAGAATGTTGTGGTGGACAGTGCGGCGATTGGGCCTTGGCATGTGGGCAACCGCGCGGATCCACGAGCCATCAGCACGTTGGCCCAGCATGATCTCAAGTGCACGCACATTGTGAGGCAGATCCACAAAAAGGACTTTACCGAATTCGACTTTATATTCGGCATGGACGAGGACAACATGAGCGAGCTGCGACGGCTGGCGCCCAAGGGCTCCAAGGCGGAGCTGCTCATGCTGGGTGACTTTGGGCTGGAGCCCAAGAATCGCATCATTGAGGATCCCTACTATGTGAGTTGCTTAGCTTCAAGATACGTTCCCCAATGACCGCTTTGACCTTGTAGGAACGTGGTGCCGCTGGCTTTGAGACCGCCTATCAGCAGTGTGTGGTGGCCTGTGCCGCCTTCATGAAGGAGCGTTTGGCTTAAATGTGTTTTTGTGATATATCTAATATATACTCATAGTGCAAGTTCAACTAATAAATGTTTGGTACAAAGCGGCAACTGGTTTCAGTGCTGTAAAATGTGCGACCACCCAATAGAAATTTATTGATTGTCCAACACGAAGGGCATACAATATTCGGCATGCCGAAGCTGTGTTGTGAAATTCACTTCAGAAATGAGTCAGTCCGCACCTGCAAGCTGCAGTTCGTTTTGGTTTCCCCCACGATGAAGGTGCTTTTCGTGTGCATTGGTAAGTCACAATAAATGCTATTAAATGTTTATTAATTTCATAAACAAATGTACATTACAGGCAACACTTGTCGCTCGCCCATGGCGGAGGCTGTGCTGAACCATTTGATATTGAAACAACAATTGGAGGACTGGCAAACGGACAGCGCGGGTCTCCGAGATTGGAATGTGGGCACATTGCCACAGGGACGTGGCCAGCAATTGCTGCAGCAGCATGGCCTAAAGACAGCACACTTGGGACGGCTGGTAAGCGGTTGGGAGTACACATACCAAGAGCTATAATCTACAATCTATGCCCTTCTGCTTTAGATAACGCCGCAAGACTTTTACGAATTCGATTACGTGCTGGGCATGGACCACAGCAATCTGGCGGAGCTGCGCCAAATGGCCCACAGACTGCAGCCCCCGCCACAGTGCAAGATAATGCTGCTGGGCAGCTTTCTGGGCCGCATCGAAGATGAGATCATTGAGGATCCATATTTTGTAAGTAACATAAGGAATTATTCTCCAATTTGTGTATCTTAGATTTTGTATCTCTTCTTTCGCAGACCCGAGGCATGAGCGGCTTCCACGCTGCCTACGAGCAGATCCGCGAGAGCTGCGAACGTTTTGTGCAGCTGCACAAGGGCAAAGAGCGGCAAACAATTAGCAATTAAATAGTCAAAACAGAAATTTTATAGTTAAAAAATGATCTTTACTTAGAAGACGCTGCCCTGCAGCACTTTGTCTATGAAACGTGACCAAGTCAGCTCCAGGATCTGATAGGCGCGCTTCTGTTCCTTCTCCGTGAGCAGCGAATAGCGCACCGAGTTCCACACCAGAGTTTTGAGCACTCGCAGTCCAGCGTTGTTGGGTGCCAGACTCATGATGGCATAGTAAAAGTCGTAGCTCAAGGCCTTGGCATTCCAGAAGCCCGGATCATCGTTGCATATGACCAGCGGCACATCCAGCGCCAGGTACTGGGCAGCCGGATGGTTGCGCATGTCCCACAGCAAGTGCAGCACCTGATTCGAGATGGGACTCACTTCGATGGCTATCTGGCGAGTCTTCACCGCATTCAGGAGTATCGGGTGCTTGGCCAGCGCATAGCCATGTCCGATGCGGGTGCTATTGAGCAGCAGCGCATCGAGCAGATTGATGTCCGTGGAGGCGCCAAACCAATCTGAAATGGAGCAAGTCTTAGCTGGGAATCCTTGAGGCTCCCTTGAACCACTCACTCGTCTCTCCCGCGTGCAGAAAAAAGTGCGCTTTTGGCGGCAGATCCTTCAAAGCAGGCAATAGCTTATACAGCGGCTGGCCCTTGTCCTCCTGTCCCACCAGATCGAAGCCCACAACAAAGTTGGGAAAGGCTTTGCTATAGAAAAAGAAACAGAAATCAGTGGGGAAACTACGCTTGAAGCTTCGTTCTCCTTACTGCAATTGCCGAAAATCCTCAACGAGTTGACCGATTTGATCCACGTCATGGCCACGATGGACGGCATAGATGAGTTTGATGCCCAGAAAGTCCGGATGCAGCCGCACAAATTTCTCATTTAAGGCATAAAACTCTTGAATGGTGCGCTCCCGCGAGAAGGTCCTTCCACTGGCATCGTAAAGCTGCTGGCAAATTGGTTTAAACTTCCGTTTATCTTGCAATGGAAATATATTTATACCTTACCCGTGAAAAACCGCTGCGAATCTCCGCGTACATCACATTATCGTTGTACAGCTCCTCGAGCATTTGCCAGTGGTAGGCGCGAAAGGCAGGCAAATAATTAATGGCATCGCCAAACGTTCGAAACATGCTCTGAAAGCGATCCCAGACCTTGGTGATTGTTGGATACTCCACTGAAAGGGAAAGGTCAGCGAAGTTCTTGTGAAGCTGCTCCCAACTCACGCTCTGGCACGGGGGTATACAGATTGATGAGCCGCTCAAAATTCTGATCGTAGACCAGCGGATCAATGGAACTTCTCCGCTCATCGGCGACCCGCACATACCCTGACTGGCACTCGTGCTCCTTGGGTGTGCGTCGAAAGGTGAGCACACTGCGACCCGTGCTCGTGGTGCAGCGCAGCATCCCGGGCATGTAGGACATGTTCTTCACCACCCACTTGGAGCTGACCGAGGCAGAGTTGTGCAGGTGCAGCACCGCGCCCTTGGGCATCTCTTGCAGAAAGCGAAAGACGCCGCTCCGATCGATCAGCGGCTTGGCCTTGAAGAAGTGCATGGCAGCAGCATTCTGCTCGGCATTGCGAAAACCCTGCGCCAGTTCCCCCAGCTTGTACTGCATGAAGCTGTCATCCGCTTTGGCCTCCCGCGTGCTGAGATACGTGTGGCCGCCAGTCATGAGCTCCTCCTCCGCCATGAGCACCGCTTGGCGTGCCTGCTCGTAGCCTGAACAGAGGAGAGAGTGAGGATTTAAGTGGAGGCAGTACCCATGGGAAGGCTCTTACTTAGTTGGCTTTGCGCTTGAACCGACAGCAGGTGCGGCAGCAACAGCAGCAACGAACATCGCCTCATTATGTGGCAGGACTCTGTCGCGTTCTCGATTTGTTGTTATGCAAATATTGACTCGAATCGAACACGTTGATTTCTATGTCAGGAATTTTTCTTTTTCTTTCGCCGCGCCACACGCCCGTTCGTTCGCAGTGAACGTTGAGAACTGAGAGAACCCTCCATGGCGGGGCCGTTGACAAAAAGAGTTGGCAAAAAGACATGGAAAAAATAACTATAATTGTGACACAATCATTGCTGGAGCCCACTTATTGGGGAGGGCTCTCTGCAATCAACTCATTAAGCGATAAACCTGGAATGAAGCCGAGCCGAGACCCTAGAGTGGTAGCTCTTAACGCATTGCCGAAAAAAAAACAATTTTGTTCTAATAGTTTTATTTCTTTTTGTTGCTTAGAAATACGTACCTTGAATATTAAGTGAGTTCCATACTTCGCTGATTTTTTAACTATTTACTTTTCGATTATTTTTCTGGTTTTTGTTTCTATTTTGGCAACTATTTTCACTGACGTTTGCGGACGCGCTTCTTGATTACAAAGTTCCTCCAGCTGCCGTGCGCCGTGTGCCGACTGTAATTTCAGCTGCCACAATTATCCTCCCAATAAACAGCAGAAAAATAAAGTACACCGAAGGTGAGCGCACCTTTTCTGTTGTCATTTAAGAAAATAACTGCCGCGGCATGAATTGGGCTTGTAATGTTTATTTATCCGCTGATTTGTTTGTGCACAACTTAATTAGACAGCGGGAATTGAGCCTAAGCATGTGCTTGAAATTTTATGAATTCATTCTTACACCTGGAGAAAAAACTTTCATTTAAATATATTTAGCTACATTTGTGGAAAATCGAATCTTCCATCTAGATATTTACTCACATATTTTAATTAGATTTTCATGTGTTCCACGCTCTGTGCAAATATTTCTGTACAAGTCTTAAGTTCTTCTTCAAGTTGTAGTGTTTTTTTTCTCTGCGTGTAATTGCTGTAATGAGGCATAAATAATCAAATAAATATGCAAATTATTTCTGACATTCAAAATAAAGCTGCAAATAAGAACTAAAAGGAATCGGAAAACAAATGTGAAAGTTCTGTCTAGAAATCGAAGTCCATGCCTACTTTCAGGCTGAAGTATGAACATTAATTCCATCAACTGTACGCCTAATTCGCGCTGCCAAAGATCTATGCATTTAGTTTGAGAAAAAACGTATACTTGAGTGACACAGAGAGCTCTTGACCATAGTACTACCTTCTATTATAATGAACGGTCCCCCCTTATCACAGTCAATGTCAAGCATCAGTTTAGTGAATCA